CACACACACACATACACACACACACACACACACACACAGACTCGAAAACTGTTATCCATTTCTGCCTGGAATCATCGAACGATCGCTCGCAAATCAACGCAACATATGAAAATCGAGTTGACCTGAAATCAATTAAGTTTCTCAGAACTCGCAGTTAGAGCCGCACGAGCGCAGCCAATGGTAGAGACCTGTCAATTCCGTGTTTAAATCATACGGGACGTTTCTTTTGTTTCACTTCGTCGAAACATTTACCTTACCTTACCGAGGGTTGTCAGATCGCGTTAGATGACGGTTCTGTAATTTCTGCAAATGGTACAAAAACGCCGCGATTCGGTTGTGTAAAGTTACTTGACTTGAAGGCCTTAATATAATCACGAGCCTCCGCGCGAATTTCAATATTTGCCAAATGTTAATTGTGCAATCTCACCATTTACTTGCCTCACACACGTTTAACGATACATGAAATCTTATTCTGACCGTATATATGTACACACACAAAAGGTTTTAATACGGCATCGGACGCGCGACGTCGCGCATTCGCCGATAGGATTTTATCGACACATGACGCGTGTAAAACGAGATCACGCGTAATTTCGGGCGCGTTCCTCGTGTGTCCTCGATTTCGTTGAAGAAGCTTGACGAACTCGGGATGGGAGCTCGATGTGTCTAAATGATCATGACAGTCGCAGAGACGAACGGTCAATGGGACTCTTCGAGTCCCCACCGCTGGATACAATGCGAAAGCTCGATTTATATCCAGCGATCGTATACAAATAGAGAACAACGACTCGGCGAACGATTCGACGAGAATGCGCGAATGAATTCTACAAATTTTGAACGGGACTACGTTAGTTGTGTAATTAGCGTCGCCGCGTTTTTGTGATATACTTTAAATCCGCGGGTCTGCGAGCGCCTGCGTGTGTATGCACGTTGTTGTTGAATCTGGTGTCCACGATGCCAAAAGATTGTAAGTCATAAGATTGTAATAAAGTTGTGCGTAAGGTCATATGATAATGCGTCAATGATAAATGAAATGGCGAACGTCTGGCGGTGATAATCGTTATTGCTATATCTCGTAACGTTTAATGTAATATCAGTGTCATGCAAAAAAAAAAAGAAAAAAAATTGAGCGGCTGAAGCTCCTCGGTGTTGTGGGTATGCGTACTCGTTCCTAGCAACTCGTATGACAATTACTATTCGATACTACTCATAACATTGCATTGATCTACTTTACTCTACGTACACTTTAAAGATAAATAAATACATTCTGTCCAATCTCACCTATACCTATGACGTCTATGTGTGTTCTTTCTTATCGATATATATATATATATATATATATATATATATATATGTACTACTAATATATCCCAATCTAATGAACGGAAGAATGGATTTACATTTCGAAGGGGATGATCGTATTATTATCTCGGATTATCATTTGCTCGTAAATGATTATTAAGATGTTAGGAGGTTGAATTAGTTCTGCTCCCCGGATGGCTTTAGTAACAAGTTAATGGTTAGTGCGAATGTTGAAATTTGGCCGGTCACACTGAAAGATTTGGCATATGACAGTTTGCGCGCTATTGTTACTGATAGTTTTATTGTTTATACCCGTAATCCTAAAATGGATCGTACAAAATTGCATTTTCCACATTCATTACTTTTTTTTGTTTGATTTGAAAAAATCGGCAACTCATGAAGCTCATGAGAAATGCTTGTTACAATTTATGGTGATCAAGCTCCAGCGTATTCCAACTGTAAATTTTTGTTTCAACGATTCAAAAGTGGTGGATTTCGATGTAAGTGACAAAAAACGTACTGGGCAACCAAAATAATTCGAGGACTCTGAATTGCAAGCATTATCGAATGAAAACTCCGTCCAAACGGAGAAACAATTGGCTGAGCAACTCAATGTCGATAAATCAACAATTTCTAAATGCCTACACGCCATGGGAAAAATTCGAAAGGCAAATAGGTTCCACATGAGTTGAGTGAAAGTGCCATTGCAAATCGTTCAAATATCGCTATGTCTTTGCTTTCCAGACAGAAAGAAAGAGTTTTTTGTGGCGATGTGTAACTGGAGATGAAAAGTGGATTAATTTTAATAATCCAAAGCGAAAAAATCGTAGCTTGATCTAGGACAACCATCAACATCGACACCAAAACGGAACATTCACGGTCACAAAGCAAGCTCTGTATTTGGTGAGATATGGAAGATGTGGTGTATTATTATGACCTTCCAAAACCGAATGTTACCGAAATAGTTACGGGAGAGCCGTGCCAGCAACAATTGAACAAATTGAATGATGAATTGATGTAAAAAAGGCCAGCGATAACCAGCGATAGACTCAAAGTGATTCTTTTGCACGATAATGCTCGTCCACATGTTTCTTCAATCGTTAAACAAACATTGTTAGAGCTCGAATGGGAAATCCTTCCGCACCTAGACTCTTCAGACCTAATATCATTTGATTATCATCTATTCCGATCGATGCAACACGCTTTGGCAGATACACACTTCGATAATTACGAGGTGCAAAAATGGCTGTCTGATTGAATTGCTTCGAAAGACAGATCATTCTATCGTCGCGGAGTCGCTATGTTGCCAAAAAGATGAGAAAAAGTCACGGCTAACAACGTAAAATATTTTGATTCATGTAAATTTAACCGTTTCTTTAAAATAAAGATAAAAAAATTGACAAAATAAGACCAGAATTCAACCTCCTAATAGTTGTGTCGCGCCAATGTACCGTCAAAAAGTTGTCTCGCGATAGAAAGAAAAAATTCTCATTCTTTGTTGGTTATTGGTGTAAATTTTTCGTTGAAATTGTTTCTATTGTGTGCACACCAAACAGAACAATGACTCTTTGTCCCGATGAACGTATCAGGTGCTGAACTTAATTTCCGACCTTCTTCTGCTTAAAAAAACGCATTTATTTCAAGGACAAAATGAATTAACATATTTAATCAAAATGTCTTCCATCATTTTCTGTGACCTTTTCCCATTTTTCTGGCAAAAATTGAATTCCACATCGATAAAACTTCTTGTCTTTTGAAGCGATTCCATCATTGACCTAATTTTGCACATCTTGGAAAGTAGAAAAGTATGTATCTTCAAGGGCGTGTTGCATCGATCGAAATAAGTAATCGGATAATCGGATGGGCCAGATCTGAAGAATAGACCAGATGTGAGAGAACCTCCCATTCCATTCTATTCTATCAGTGCTTGTTGAACAGTTCTTGCAACATATGGCCGAGTATTGTCGTGCAAAAGAACGACTTTTCTTCGATTATTGGCGATTGATGGCCTTCTTTACATAAATTCCTCGTTCCGATTGTTGCTGCTAACGGTCAATTATAACTGTTTCATTTGGTTTCAATAGCTCATGGTACATTACGCTTCCCTAATCCCGTCAAATATACAGCATTATCTTGTGACTATGAATATCCCATTTGGGCGTCGAAATTGATGGTTGGTTCGAGTCCTTGCGTTTCGAATTATCGTAACGATTCCATTTTTCGTCGTCGGTCACGATTCGTCACGAAACCTCTTTTTTTTAATGTCTTGCGAGCAAAGAACTAACGATGAAAAAACGATTAGAGATTGTAACATCAGTCAGTTCATATGTGGTACTTGGTTTCCTTCTTCATGATCGAGTCTTTCCCATGGCGTGTAGACGTTTTGGAAATATTTCTATCGGTGACATTTAATGCTTCTGCCAATTCTTTAGTTGTTTGAAATAGATTTCCATTCAATAATGCTTGCGATCCGGCGTCTTCAAACTTTTTTGGCTGATCTGAACGTTGTTTGTCTTTCACGTTAAAATCACCACTTTTGAATTTTTGAAACCATTCTTTGCAAGATGCTTCCGATGAAGCAGCATCACTACAAGCTTCACTCAGCAATTGATGAGTTCAGTTTCAGTTGGATCTTTCTTCAAATCAGAGTAGCGAAGAAACACTTGTCGAAATAACTCTTTGTTACGTTCCATTTTCCATCGAATAAAATGAATCGTTGTGTACTGAATTTTATTAAAAAATGTCAAACCTTCTTTTCAGCTGTCAGTCGCGACATTCGTTGCTGGAGTGCCATATATTCGTGAGAGTCGGAAATTAAGTTCGGTACTTAATAATAATATATATGATAATCGTGACAACGATCTGTCAAATTCCTTTTCTAACTTATCCCTCTCTATAATCTATTTCTGTTCAAGAATAATTCGATACAAGTAAAGCAAATATATCTCATAGACTTCGATGTAAGGAGAGATTTATAAAAAAAATATTAAGCAAGAAATTAAAAGATATATCAGATAACAATGAGTTTTACTTCAGTTACATATTGTGTTTACATAAATCCATAAAGGAAGCAGTTTTTGTTGTGTTCTGTAATAAAAATGTAATAAAAAATATCTATATACACATTTACGTAAATTAAAGATAAAGTTGCATTCTTTTATTGTCGTGCTTTTAACAAAAGTAATAAAAATATTCTATAATCTTTTAAATTACTTTGTTACTCGTCTCTATGATTTTTACACGATATATAGATAAAATATTTGTCCATATCCATCTGCTCATGAAATCGTGCATGTATCGTTGCGTACACGTATCAGTCTTTAGTATTATAATAATTTTTCAATTAAACATCACATTTAGTTTGGAAGATATTAATCACAAAAATTAAAGAAAAGAACACGATAATATCAAGGATACCATTTATATGAAGAGTGTCAACTTTAACTGCAAACTCTCAACTTTCCAACGGTCAATCTTTTTCTAATTACAATAAGCAGTTAGACAATATTTTAATGTATATATAATGTAAATTTCATCGAATTCTCATGAAATCTATTTCATGATGCAACTGTCTTAAACGATCGGAAAGTTGTCGAAAGTTGGATGGACTGAACCTTGGTCAGAGATTCTCCACCAATCGGTCGCTTCAAGTGGAGGAAACGAGAGAACGAGGTATAAAAGAAGCAACTATACATTCATTTCATTAATTTTTTGTTTCAACGGTACTACATAATTCCTTCTCGGTTCGATCAGTTTCTTTCTTTTACAATATGCTTAATACTCGAACATTTAATCTCGATTTCGTATCTCTTTCACCTAAAACGTGCCCTCAATAATGTCATGGTTACGGAGTATTTTCATCTGTTACATCTGTCAGAGGCTAAATTCTACTTGGCAATCGCGTCGGCGTAGGTGAACGTCATTCTGTTTCTAATGTCCATTGAAAAACAAGAATAGAATGACGCGATCGCCAAGTGAAACTGAGCCATAATCGGCGCACGGAAAAATATGTACGCTCGCGTATCTATTTCCCTACCTACCCTATCTATTATATTCGTTAATATTTCTTTTATTTATTCATGTATATCAGCAATAGAAAAAGGTTAATCAGGGCGAATTGGAAAGTTTACTCTAACCCACGTTACACGTCCCAATGAACGTGATTTGTTCTGTTAATTAATATATGATTACACGATTACATTTTCCTTACTGTTAGAGCAAAAGCTGCCTATGATCTAACGATTATTATATCCTTTAATATATATCTTTCCTCTTTTTCGTTTGTTTTTCTTGTATTGTTTGTTTCGCTTTTTGTTTGCACATGCGCACGCGCGTACTCACATATACACGCACACGCACACGCACACGCAGAGGGTATCCTGAAATTCGCACTCACGGAGTGCACCTCGTGTGCGATTTTCTGTATCAGAAAACGCAACTTTTTCCTACGGCAAAGTTACATGCGAACAATAGTTTTAAATGAGCAATTTAAAATTCCACGAATTTCAGAGTTGTAAGTTGCGCGTGAATCAAGGGCAGTATGCGCTCGCAAATAACGGAATCGCAAGTCATCGTGCGAGACAAACCATTTTTCTCGCATTTTGCAAAAAATTTATCACGAACCCACACGTGCGTAATATCTGAATATTACCATCATTTTAAGAGAAACATTATTTAATATTTAAAGACTCGGCTATACGGAGAAAAGGCAACGGAAGCATTTGCCGGAAATATACTGCACATGGACAAAACGTGGATGGTTGTGGCAAAAGAAGTTTAAGAAATTTCAATGACAGAGTCAGAAAGCTGAGAATCAATTGTATCATTTCGTCAGTTTATCCACAGCACATGTGAATTATATGCTATTCCATAATTCATCGTGTTTTGCAACACGATCGCATGTATCCATATTGTCTTGAATAGTTGTATAATCTTTTGTAAAATCCTTGGAAAATTTTTGTAAAGTTTTTAGCAAAATACAAGATTACATATCCAATATAAGTCGTCATGTCGGCGACTGCAAAAGATATATTATTCTTGATCCACACATAATATAGGATGCATGAACTTTACGAAACAAGTACTTTTACTTAAAAATTATCGTTCGAAAGAAATTTTACCAAAGGAGATAATTACATTCTCTGGTACGGAAAATTGCACAGTATTCTCGCAGTGGGCGTCAATCTTAGGATACTTTATATATGTATATACGGGACATATAAAAAATTCCAGGACTGCAAAATGTCTCGAAAAAAAGTTCTATAAAAAAATGTCTCGAACAAAAGTCGTAGGGTTTATATTTATTGGCCTTATCAGTTTGATCTCGAATGGCGTCGCTAAATTCAGGTCGAGATTGCTTTAAACTTTTTTAAGTAGAACTCCCTATTTTTATAAGATACCCTATATGTGTATGTATAGGACGTATAAAAAATTCTGGGACGACAAAATGTCTCGAAAAAAGAAGTTCTATAGAAAAATGTCTCGAACAAAAGTCGTAGGGTTTAAATTTATTGGCCTTATCAGTTTAACCTTGAACAGCGTCGCTAAATTCAAGTCAAGATTGCTTTGAGCTTTCTTAAGTGGAACACCCTATTTTTTTTATTGTACATTCTTCTTTTGGGACCTTTCCAAAGTATTATAATTTTATCCTTTTTGGAGCAGCTGTCTCAAAGTTGTCGAGCTTTTTTATAATGAGATATAGCTTCACCCAAATTAAATAAGCAGAGATTTCTCTATTATCGTATTATAGTGTATGGAGAAGAGGATGATAGGTAATGTGTGTGGAGTATGGGGTAAAGTAGGAGTAGGATATGATGGAAGTATGAGGAGAGGGTGATAATCAGCTTGCCCCCCACTATTCGCTTGTGCACTATTCAGTCTCAGTCTGACTCTCATCCTACATATCCCGTACGAACAGCCCTTCTAAGAGCTGATTACGTGATGTGCAAAGTCGAATCAAGCAGCTTCCTCGCGAGGTACATCGGGCAATGCTAATGCTGATGGCGATTAACTAATTTGAGATCATTCTTGTATCTAAACAATTGGTCCGCACCCAGTAAATACCAATATTTCAAGTAACTGATACGCACCCTCATCAAAGCACCATATAGTATAATACGAGTGATAATATAAAAGGGTTATAAGAATATGTAAAATAGAGGATTCCTTATTTTAGAACATTCAAGGTGATCTTGACTTTGGCAACGCCGCTCTGGGTCAAACTTTAATTGAGGTAAATAGATCTTCTCAAACTCTACAACTTTTACTTGAATTTTTTTTTTATATATAAAATTTACATTGTCCGAGATATTTCGCCGTCCCGAAACTTTTCGTACAGCCTATATGTGTGTATATGTATGCAAGGTGTATAAAAACTTCCGCGACGACGCGTAAACAATGGTTGGTCGTAGCATCCAATACTGATCGCTGCTAAGAAATAATCAATCACTTTCTATGCGACTTCACCGTCCCACATGCGTCGCGCATGCTGGCTCGTCAATCTTCTTTCAATAATAATTCGATATTTTATGTAATTGTTTTAAAAGTGGAACAGGACTTTTTCAGTCTAACCAGTTTTACTTGCGCTCGAATGATTACGCGCCGTCTTGCGTGGGACACCCTGTATAATAACACTGTATAATATACACGGTGAAAGCCCAAGCATGCACATGTATTCTAAATACCTGCGTTATATCAATATATCTTTATTACACCGTGACGTGTCGCGTATTTATTGTTCTAAACTGGCAGATCGAAAGCGTATACATATACATATACATATATCTCGTAATGTACGTAAACGTGGCTCAGTGTACGTCGCTTCGTTTGGCCTCTAGTTGAAAATGCGATGGACAATCGATATCAGTGACTAAGCGTGAAACATGACTAGCTTGAAACGGCGATTCCATTGACGCGACGCGTGCGGTGTTCCGGCGATTAATTGCTGCTGCATCGGCGGCATTTTGTTTTGCCCTGCAATTTGTTTCGCCCAACAATAGTCTCGGACTGCGGTATCAGAATATCTGACAACAATTGTGCACAGGCTGTGTCCACTTATCTGGGCCACGTTGACATGCAAAGGATAGAAGACTTCAAATTCGTAACAGTTATTATTATTATTATCGATCTCTATTCGATTAAAGTGACCTCTTGTTCGATAAAAGGATCCCCTCTAAAAAGCCGATAGAAAAATACCTTCTCATTGCTTACTTTTATCACTTCGTCAAGATATCGGAATGCTGAAAAATTACAATGAAACACAACGTCCTATTCGTCGTGAGTATGATCGATTATGAACAACATTCAAAGTACCGAATAATTCTCCGTCGTTATATAATTTCAATATCAATATATAATCGATAACTACCTCGTACTAACATAGTTCGAGTCCTCAATTTGTCTCGCCTGTGTTGCGAAACGAATTGAAGATGTGTTCCTGCTTCTTGTTAATTTTTCAATCGTTCGGAAAGTTATGGTGGGGACTACAAGAATAACATATTTCCTATTATATGCATCACATATTATCTCCGATTTGATAAACAAAAATAAATTCACAGAATCACTAGAGATTCGATTCTCCTCGTCCGACTAAAGTATATTATTTAATAGCATTTCCGTATAACGGTTAAAGATAAATGCAACAGACTCCAAACGAATACAGTAAATGAATTTAACAACGAAGCATCAAGCTACAAATTAAGCTAAAATCAGGCGGATATGATATTAGACGATATTAGATGATATTAGATGATATTCTAGCGTACTTGGTTATTTCGCCACTTTCAAAAATGCTTTATATCGTATGTTTCACCGCTGCAAGAGATACGTACCCTTGTCTCGGTACGCGTTTTGTAGATTTTTGCCGCATGAATATCTTACAATGAACGCCATTGAGAACGTTCTATCGATATAAAAATAATTGCGTAAACATCCACATGTTTACTCGAGATTCCACTTACAAACGGACTTTCAGCTCCTCCATTCTTTGCTTTATTCTTCTTCGCATTTCTTTATATCTGGAATGTCGGATTTACAGAATGTTATGACATTTTCCACACACACGTTGTCACGTATATTTACTCACTTCTCTCTCAAGAGAACAATCTGACGTTCTTCCTCGTAGTGGTAGCGCTGCAATATGCCGTGGCATTCCGCTAGAGACAGATTGAGAAATTGTGCGACGTCCGAGCTGATCTCAGGTGTAGACAATTTATCGACCAGGAACAGTCGAGCAACGTTCTCGTGCGGACCCAAGATCACTCTCACTTCTAAAGGATACTCGTCGTCTCTTAACCTCCTTTGCTCTAAAAATAACAGCATGGACCGCGCACAGCGGAGAAATATGTAATCGCGTGTAAATTGATTCGATTTTTGTACGAAAACTGCTGCCCTTACCACCATTGTCGCGCACCACAAATAATGCAAAATTATCGGACTTGGCGTCAACTTTGTATTTGTCCAACATAAGATTGATTACTTCCTGGGTATTTACTAGGCTCGTTACCCAGACAGACATTTGCGAGCCGTGAGGCGGAGTGAAAAAACTGGTCTCTCGATTGTAAAAGTGACCATTGATCGAACAACGGCGTCGTAGTCGACTGCGAGACTGACGTTTACCGCCTGGTCGTCGTCTGATCGCGGTGGAACCTTGTTTACGGCGTAAAACGACACCGTCCAGCTAAAACCAGGACATATTAGTGCGTCTACTTAGAAGAAAATAAGTTAGCAGAACGAACGCTTACGATGCGATACCTCTAATCCACTGTCCGTGGACATAGTCATGTTATCATCTTCCCTAAATTGCAAGGAGTTTACTGAATCCGTGTCGCTGTCCGTTCTGTGTCTCTGAAGACAGTCGGGACCTGACAGAGATCGGTTCAAACCCTTTTCGATCCAACTGTCGTCAGTGTCGATAGATCTACTGCCGCCAACGGCACTACCTTTCTCCAAGTTGTCAAAGTACTCTACTCTTCGAAGCGTACCGTTTCGATTAGCTCCTAAATTGACAGGTGTGTCTGTACTGGAAGAACTACCTATGCTGTGTGTCGGCGTGCTGTTCATACTACTGTCGTTATCCCGGCTAGCCGATTGATGATTTGGACTGCTTGTATCTGAATTTTCGCGAGAATCAGATCGATCGAGGCTCGACTGAGATGAGAGTGGTGGTGTGTCCATACTGGACTGCGAACTTATCGACGGGAGATTCTCGGGCATAGTTTGATACAATTTGTTTCCATCTTCGACTTTACGTTCGACCTAAAAATTCCAAATTAATATCCGCATCATGAAACAAAAGCAGATGTTAATTATAAAACCTGTAGCAACTCATCCAGTTCGTCCCATTCCATAGTCTTGACATCCAGTTTCATAGGCAGAGTGAGACTTTTCAAATGATCAGGAGACATCGGGACGGACTTTGCATTATTCTCCATATTACTGTCTGATGGATTCTTAGACAGTTCGTCTATTTTATCCTCATCTTCAATATCCTATTATAATTAAAAGCAATGAATGTACTTTCTATAACATCCTTGTATATACCAAATTAAAATAAATATAACGAACCTCAGAAACACTGTGCCTACATGAATTTCTGTTCCGTGCTGTAACTACTGTACGTTGATCGTCATCTTCCTTCAGATGAATCACTCCACGAACTCCCCAATAAATTCTTAATGCACCTTCTAATACCAATCTTCCATTAACCTATTTTAAATAATTATTTATATAATAATCTTAATCTTATTTTTGCAACAAATAAAATTTGATGAAAATGTGTCGAGTATATCTTTTACCTCACGGCTTCGAATTCCCCCACTTTTACCTTCATAATACTGGTTGAAAACTTTCAACTTTGATTCCAAATGTGATCTGAAAAAATAAAATATTTGTATTTCTTAAAGGAAACATTTAGATTATTTTAGATGTTTTCTTACTGGATAATAATTTATTTTATAATAAATCATAAAATTAATAATAAAAAGTTATGTGTTATACTAAAAGTTTTGGAAAAAAAACAAGAAATTATTATACTGTTACAGCGCAAACTATATTATCAAATTAATAATTAATACAGGATTTTCATGTATGCTTACCTTGGTAATGATGGTCGACTTTCTTTTTTTCCAAAGCTAGTATGTGATTCTACTCTTGTTCCATGACCAAATAGTTGAGGTCCAAATAATGCTCCATAACAAGGAACATGACAATAGGGTACACCTTTGTGCTGATTAATAATCATATATTATTGTTAATCTATTGTTTATAAACTAACATATATCAACCTACATATTATATATATTATATTATAAAAATAAAGAAACTGATAAGTCTATGTTTAATCACATCAAATATATATACCTCTGCATGTTGGCCAGGATTCAATCGTTTTCCACATTCTTCACATCGCAAACATTCCGGATGCCAATCATATCCCAATGACTGTTTACGTTCAGCTAAAAATGATTATATTTGTTTATTCAAATTACATTTATCCACATACCATTTTTTTTATCACAAAGCAAGAATAGCATATTTGTTTACTGTTACACTGCAATCAAAAATATTTGTTATACAATACACAACAATTTTTTGTGCATATTGCTATATAAATAATTGAAATAATATATAATATCAAGCATCTCAGATTTTTTGATAAATTCAATCTTTTATTCATTTGTTCATTCAATATAAGACATAATTTAGCAATTCTCATGTTATATACAATGTCTCATAACAAAATAAACCAACTTTGAATCACTGCTTAGAGTAATTAAGTGTTACTTGTCAAAATGAACATAGTTGCAGAATATAAATGTAAAAACTCACCGAAATAAACGGGTTTCCCGCATTTGTGACACTTCCACATGATAATAGGCGATGAAAATTAGTAATTTAACGGACAAACAAAGGGTGCGATTTTCGTAGCGTTTCATACAGTTCTAAACCATTTTGTTTATATTAACGAAGAACACTCACAGAAAATGACATGCAGGTTAATTAAAGGTTTACAGGAGTGACTAGTGAACCCCAAATTGATTTTAGTGACTTCATGCGGCCAAAACGCAAAGCTCTGCATTCAGAGCTACCAATATCAAATTTAAAGTAAAATCAGAGAGGAAGCTGAGAGCGGCCAACACGGCGTTTTCGGCGACACCGATTTTTCGCACTGGAAATGGGCGCCATCTGCATCCATTTTGAGAGGAGAACTACGATGCTACATCCACTTTTAGGTCTTGGTGGTAAAATCTGCATGTAGTGGAAGTCCGTGCTACATCCACTTTCAGGTGGTTTAAGTCCGTGCTACAACCATAATAGAGTACTTGACAATCACGGTCTCGCACATTGTTATGCGTTTATAACATGAATTAACACGTTAACATGTGCAAAAAAAAAGAATTGACATTGTATATGATTAATATCATGAAGATCATACGAAGTGTCCGGTAATTAGCTGCCAACCCGAAGTGTGAGGGTAGATTGGGTTGAGACAAATATAAAAGTCCTATACCATTTTGCGAGATTCGCAATAATTATCGAATTATTAATGACAGAAATCTGAGGAGTAAAAGTGCGCCGACATAGATGATTCGAAAAGCGTAGCAGCTGCTCGGGGCAGCGATCATGAATATTTTCCCTAGCGTGAATTAATAAAAAGTGAAAGACTTCTGTGAATCAGTGAAAAATGAAAAATTTTATATGAATTTGTGAAAATCGAAACATTTCACACGACAATTGAGTCGTTCAACATGGCAGTTACGCGTTCTGAATAATTCAATGAATACCAAAGAAATCAAAATGATCCAAATAATAATGTCCGTGTAGTCCGAAGGATATTACGTGACACACAAAATCCGTTTGATATAATATCCACAGAAAATGTTTCAAAATATGTATGTACAGGTAATATAAACCTTATGCACCGACGAGATATACTACAAAGACTGATGACCTTACGGAATTTAGCGTACCAGAGAAATTTTCCTGGTGAGGCACCCGGACGAAAGAGACCGTCTCGTATTTAGCGCAGTAAAATTTAATGGGAACTAATACTTTTCAACCCTTTTCTTCGGATCAAAAAGTTTCAGAATTCAGACATATTCAAAATGTCAATACTTTTTAATACGTTTCAATTCAACATTTTATACAGGAAAGCAGGACGAAGGGAATGGAATGCGGGCAACGATACATCATGCGTCTCCAGACGTGTCAAATCGTTTATTATAGAGGAAACATTGATACGGCAACATGTATTCGAATATTTATCGCCCCATGGACTACTTATATATAATAAAAAAAAAATTTACGCGGATAAATGAACGATTCGTATCAATTTTTTCTTTTCTTATAGAGCAATGAAAGAGTAAATCAGTATCGAAAATCGAATACCGATTAATACCATAAATCAGTGTCAGAAAATTGTCCAATGACAATTTGTTCTCATTTTGCAGGTAGTTACTACTATGATTTACACAACAGATTAACTCGGTTAAACGAACGATTCGTACCAATTTTTCTTCTCTTATAAAGACATGAGAGAATAAATCAGTACCGAAAATCGAAGGCCGATCAATACCTAATTTATTCATCAAATTAACGCGGATTAATTGACGATTCGTATTAATTTTCTGTTTTCTTATAGAGAATTGAAAGACTAAATCAGTACCGAAAATCGAATATCGATTAATACCATAAATCAGTGTCAAAAAATTGCACACGTGCAATGAAAATTTGTTCTTATTTTTCAAGTACATACCCCTCTAATCTTATTCAACAGATTACCTCAGATAAACGAACGATTCGTATCAATTTTTTTGTCTTATAAAAAAATGAGAAAAATCAGTACCGAAAATCGAAGACCGTTCAATATCTAATTTTTTCATCAAATTAACGCGGATAAATGAACAATTCGTCTGAATTTTTGCTTTTCTTATAGAAAAATGAAAGGAGAAAACAGTACCGAAAATCGAATATCGATTAATATCGAATTTATTCATCAAATTAACGTGGATAAACAAACGATTTGTATCAATCTTTTTTTCCTTTATAGAAAAATCAAACACTAAATCAGTACCGAAAATCGGATATTGATCAATACTATAAATCAGCGTTAGAAAATTGTCTAAGTGCAATGACAAGTTGTTTTCATCTTGCAGTTACTTACCCCACTAATTTACTCAACAAATTAAGTCGGATAAAGGAAAGATTCGTATCAACTTTTATTCTCTTATAAAGAAATTAGAGTATTAGTCAGTACCGAAAATTGAAGACCGATCAATATTTAATTTATTCATCAAATTAACACGGATAAATGAACGATTCGTATGAATTTCTTGTTCTTATAGAGAAATGAAAGAGTAAATCAGTATCGAAAATCGAATATCGATCAATACCGTAAATCAGTGTCAGAAGATTGTCCAAGTGCAATGACAATTCGTTCTCATTTTTCAGGTATTTATCCTTCTAATTTACTCAACAAATTAATTCGAATAAACAAATGATTCGTATCAATTTTTCTTGTCTTATAAAGAAATGAGAGAATAAATCAGTACCGAAAATTGAAGACCAATCAATATTTAATTTATTCATCAAATTAACGCGGATAAATGAACGAGTCGTATGAATTTTTTTTCTTGTAGAAAAATGAAAGAGTAAATCAGTACCGAAAATCGAATATCGATCAATACCAGAAATCAGTGTCAGAAGATTGTCCAAGTGCAATGACAATTCGTTCTCATTTTTCAGGTATTTATCCTTCTAATTTATTCAACAAATTAACTCCGATAAATAAACGAACGAATCGTATTAATTTTTTCTTCTCTTATAGAGAAATGAGAAAGTAAATCAGTACCGGAAATCGAATATCGATTAATATCGTAAATCAAAATTTATATTGCTGTTTAATTCCATCATCGCAAAAGATTTGACGTTTTTTCTATCCTAGTCCTAACTTGTAGAAAATTTGGTACTCATCCCTATTTGTCAAAAGTACGTCGGACTTTCTGTACTAACTAATATTTTTTTTCATTCTTATTTTTTCTACGTCTAATATTTTAATACCGAATCTGTCGAAATGAACCGATCTCCAGAAATCCCGGCAAGACGTTTTTCTCTCTTTCTCGCTCTCCTCTCTCTCTTCGTCTCCGAATCGCCGCTAACGATCGAAAACCGCAAGCGGAAAGTAACGAAAATTTATCCAACTAAAACGTTCTCCGTGTTATTTTTTAAGCGTTGGATAAATACCGATTCCGTGTTTTCTCAAATATCTAACAAAAGTATCTCCGTTTTTTCTTGCCGACATTCAAATCGATAGTTTTCTACAAGTTAGGATTTGATAAAAAAAAGTCTTTCCCGAGTCGAAATATTAATTCTACATTGATCCTGCAAATTGCATCCAATTTGAAAAATCAATGCAGAATATCTAGATGCGCAATAGTGAACAAGATTTGTCCTACCTGAACGTTACATCTGGCTACTCTCGCAGTCTCGCCCATGATGAGTCTTCAACAGCGACGTATTCCGCAGTTATTTAATACTCCTTTATCTCGATAATGTATATGTACTTAATCCTTATATTCTTAATTTAAATGACTTTAAATTAATTTTTGTTGATGTTGATTATATATTCGCTTAACAGCGTAAGAAAGAGAACAAAGATAAAAACGTTAATAGAACTGCCTTTGTTAGAACTGCACGTGAGATAAATATATAAGGATTAAATAATCATATAAGAATTAGAGGAAATGGGGAGATGAAAAACACTTTTAATTCTCATCATTCTTAAAGTTCTTTTTTCCTTTTTTCTTCTCTTTTTTTCTTTTCTTTTTTCTAATGAGAATGATGAGAATTGTAGCTCTCAAAAGAGCTGAAGCTGCAAAGGCAAAGACAACGGTTATGTCTAATAATGCTGTTTCACTAATAGAGATTTTAATTCAGATTCGGTACAATAAGAAAGATAAACAAGAATGAGAAACGGACATTCTAGCAGATTCTAAACGAAAACATCAATCTGAGCATTATTAGATGAATAAAAATCAATACTTGCAAAATTTATATCAGAATCTAAGATCATTATTCATAGTTTTCTAAATTATGTGCAATTTTTTATTGAGAACATAATTACAAATTTGTATTCATAAACCTTAGCTTGCCTCAGCAACCTTGCTTGAATAGACATTCATATTTTATGAGAAAAGAAAAGTAGAACTCGAATGTTACGTGAAGTTAGGTTAACGAATAATCAAATCTCAAGCTATTTTATTATTTTTCGGATGATAAACTATGAATGCTGATCTAATTTCGACTCGGGTGTGTCCTTACTTCGAGTAAGGTCCGTTAAAATCAGAAAAATCCTGCGTAATAATAATGACTCGAGGTACCTCGAATACCATACATGATGTATCGCTGTCCACGTCTCTCGGCGCGCTCCAAGTCCTCTCTCCATCCTGACTTCTCGACTTCGATCCGACATCCTCCTTCTGGTTACTCCGTCGCAGCATCCCCGGATACTCCATCGTAGCACTGGCGACGACACTGACTCTAGCTCTAACACTCGCGCAAGTAAGATTCGGACAAAGAAACGCGTATTAACCGACACTCGTACTACTCTGCGTCGCGGTATGCGCGTCGTTCGTCGGCCCGAGGCGCAATGTCCTTTCCGCAATCACGGAGTCATGTATAAACGTACGAATCCAAACAATCGGGAAGGTCCCCACGGTTACCCCCCACCTTGCCGATCAGTGTTGATGCCTGCGTCGTCCGTTAGCTGAAAATGAAAACAACTCGTGTTTTCAAAGCATGCCTGTGAGAGACTCGCTTCAAACTTCACAATACTTATTTACGTCTGTTCCAAGAATCATATTTTACGCCGAATTCAAACTGTCTCTATTGACATGACATACACGAGATCTGCGATCGCATCATTGATCTTTCTTTGGACAAGAAAATCCTGAAAGGAACGCTGTTCGAGAATATTACATTTTATGTTTCATTTTATGTGCCTTGCAGATTATCCGATGTACAATAACAGATTAGGGAGAGTATGAATGCGTCGCTATGAATAACACCGTGGGC